ATTCCTGGACTTCCTATGATTTGTACACTAACTTCTTTAATGAATGACCCCTTGTAAAAATTATAAAATCTTAATAAGGTAATTATAAAAAAACCCCCCAAAATAAAAATAATAACAAATGCAGTACATATCAGAAGTGATAACAGTAGGGTTAACAGCTTTACAGGTGGGTCAGATATAATCTCTCCTCCAACTTGGGGGCCTTCGCAACCTGATTGGTCTGCACAGCGTCGTCTCATCTTCTTCTCCAGATTCGTCACTATTTTCTTCCAGCTCCATTTCTTCGCCATATTCACTATCCAATTGCCAGGATTTCAATTGTATCACACGAGCCATAATAGCAAACCAACTCTTCTTGGGCGCATCCGATTCAATCACTCTAGCACTTATTTGGCCCATTCGCTGACATGAACGAGTCCGCATCTTCCCATAGGTTTTTGGGACAATTGTTTGCCCGGGCATTCTAGTTTTATTAACAATGCACATGAAACGCCGCGAATGAGTTGATTTCCTCCTCTCACATTTTAGCAAATCGCGGAGAAGTTCTTTTTTTGACTGGTGAACTCTTCCCAAAGCGTACAAAGCCATATCGTGCCAAAATAACCCTTTTAGCAATTGGTCTTTTGTTTCAACGAACGGAAGTGCTAGTTGGCGGCACATACGTACCTTGGATGGGAAATAATCCATAACGCATTCGTTTTCCTTCTGGACACGCGCCTTCAGCAAGTCATAGCGGTCCAATGTATTTGTATTGAGTATGAAAGTGGTTCGGAATCGAAGTTCGAAATCGGACCAATCCATGAAATTCCTATCACTGAACCAATCGCGAGCAGCTGCCCGTAAGTTTGTTCGAACAAAATGTAACCGGGTATTAATCGGCCATTCATTAGCCGACGCAATGCCCTTGACATCCGACAGCCAATTTTCGGCCTGCTGAGGAGTCTCTCGTCCCGTGAAGTAAGTAATCGACGTATTTAATTTTGGCATCACTCGAAATTCACGTATTCTCGGCTTTGGTCCCATCGTTGTGTTTGATAAACCGTCCAACACTTCCAATTCCTTCGACGAAATATTTATTATATAGGTCAATACCTGGACCTGATCACGGATTTTCGAAACAAGACTATGTAATTCGCTGTATGTATGTGTGTGACACACTCCACTGTTTAGAATGGGATCACTTAATTCATTACCCATCGACATAGTGGCGTTAATTTTAACAACCGGGACCCAAGCAACGGCAACTCCACACCAACGGACTACGCACAACTGTTTACTTTTTTTTTCACGAACCGATAACAACCACGATTACAACTGATAACGTTCACGGTTATGTGTGATAGCAACAAAGGTTACCACGACCAGAGGCAAACGAGAGTGAAACAAGCTCACGTTAGGTTACCCTCCGCGCCAACAAAAGATTAGTATCCGGGCGATGACAAATATTTCGACACTCAATGCGCATACCGCTACGACAAGGGACTCGTACGACTGCAAAGATAATAACAATTTCAACGCACGCATTAGGTATTGACGGGTCGCATAACTTGACCACGGATATACGCACTACACACAACGGATCCATATCCCGCTTATAAAATAATGTAATGTCCAAAAGATAATGACGCAACGTTTTACAATATTACATTAATTGTTCTTTTATGCACACGATTTCAACTTACAACGACAACAGAAAAAAAAATAGGAATTATAGTACAATTTCTACAGATTTAATGTTTGACACCGCTAGGTATGGCTGGTCGACTGCCACGTACACACGCTATCGGGAAAAGATAAGAAATAGTAGTAGCACTGCTATTTTACTATAGCAATAACGGACTGCTATTTAGTGTTAATGTTAGCAGTGATTACTTAAATTTGTTAAAATTTGCTAAAAACCCACGCTGCCCGCAAACAAGGCCAAGAGCAGTCCAAGTGTAATGGAAATTTATACTTTTACGAGCTTAACTAGTATTGCTAATTGCTATAAAATTAGCTGTTATTAATAAAGGATATTAAAATTACACGATAACATCATATTATCAGCTGTTTCATAAAAACAGCAATAGAGGACATTTAAAATTAGCAATTAGTAGTGACTAAAAATAAAATTTAGCAGATTACCATCTCTACTCTCGAGTTACTTCTTAGTACTCAGCGTCTTAGCCACCCCGTTCGGCTACGCTCAGCCACTAATATGATATTGTCAAGAAACTCATTTATGTGTGTTGTATATAAAATATATAATTGTGTCATAATTATAATATAATACACTGTTAACTAACAGAATAATTAAAGTAATACATTTAAAATTAATAAAATAAAGTAGTTCTATTAATATTAATGAGTTCAATTGTTCAACTTTTGTCAACTCTTACCATTCTTCAACTGCATGCAATCCAAGATTTACATTCTTTAAACACAAATAAAAACATATATTACAAATATATTATAATTATGCATTAGAGTTAAATTTAATTTTAAATATTATGTATATTATATGTTTTAATATTTAACCAATTTATACAAATTCTTACTCTTCTGATATTTGTGTTTAAATCTGTACTTCTATCATCTTCTCCACTACTTTTATCCCTAATATTCTCACCGAGTAATTGCAGCCACTCAGGTATTTCTTGTTTTGACTAAACCAAATCGATTTAAATAAATTTAATTCATGTGACATAGATTATAATTAAATTGAGAAAATAAATTAGATACCGCCGAGAGTGTTTTTATAATAGGCTCTATTAAATGGTAATCATAGTTTATATTGATGAAAGATATAGCCTTTCCTGAATTTCCCATTCGACCAGTGCGGCCGATTCGATGTATGTATGATTCAATTTCTCCAGGCATATCATAATTAATGACTTGCTGAATTATTTTTATGTCTATTAGAAAAATTTAAAAAAAATCATCTAGATTATCAATGATTTTATAAAAAGAAAAAGTTTACTGATTTAATGGGATTTGAAAAATAATTTTTACGATTTGCATCAAAATTTTAACTTTAAATTGTATATAAAAAAACAACTACAATATCATGCTATATAAAGCCTAATAATATTATTTTGTGAAAAAGTTGAGTCCCTATAGTTAATTTAAACTGAATTACTACAAGAAACAAATTTGAAACTGTTAATGTCATAAACTTTCAGAATCATCGCAAATTTTAGGAAAATTAATCAAAAGCGGCCTTATAACACAACAACCATATACAATTTTCTCTCAGGAAAGATGCTACACATGAAATTCAGAGTAAGTTTTTTAGTAGAAAAACAAAATCGAAATTAATGAAACTTTCAATGCTGGAAATTAAATATTAGTAGAGTGAGAAATATATAAAAACTAAATAATGACTTCCGTAATGCATAAAGTTGATATTAAATCTTCCCAAAAATGTTTCTGTTTAAAAATTTCACAGACATATAAATTAAATAAATAAGCACAGATCATAAACCAGAATATAAAATGAAAAATCAATAGTACGAAACAAGTGTGCATTATTTTTTTGAAATGTGATAAACAATCTTTGTTGGTTAGTACATAGAAAAGTCAAAAGTCAGATTGTTAGGAGGTGATATAATGCTGTGGGGCATCTGGCTAACGGTTAAAAAATTTATACTGGTTCCTATATTATATTATATGAGAAGGTATGCAAAGGGTTTATTGGATTGATGCATGATTAGATTGTTTATACAAATAAGACACCTAGAGGCAAACAATCATATAACCATGAACAGTATTGCAAACGAAGGCGTACCATTTCATACAGTGCACATAGATCATTTGGGACCTACACTTTGTTAGGAGTAAAAGAAGTAATAATTATTTATTTCTCACATAGATGGATTTACTAAATATATAGTTATTGAGCTTACGAATGATACTAAGAACAAGGCGGCGGTAAGAATTATGGATGAATTCGGTTCTACGTTTTGTTCACGGCTTTCATTAGTATGGAGTTTTGTAAACTGGTGTCATTCATGTATTACACCACGGAAAAATAGCCAGGTGGAGAGAGCTAATAGAACTATATTGTCTAAAGTGTCTACAGTAAGTGATACTGATATGGACTGGGATCTTCTTATTAGGTGAATACAGTGGGCGATAAATAATACATTTAATAAAGCCACTAAGGCAACATCGTTCATGTTGGTGTAGGTATTTTGACTTCAGTAATTTTTACCTAAAAATTAAATACTTTGAACTACCCTATTTGAAATAATGTCTTCTACTATATTTAAATGGTTTTGGAAGTTAAAATTTCTTTTTTTTTTAAATGCTTCAAGAATTAATCGAAGCTCAATTAGAAAACTGCACGATAACCCTTAAAATTACTAAACAAATTAATTAATTTCTTGAAGCATATTAAATTTTAATCGAAATTAAAATTGTTAGAATTTGAATGCATTACGCAAAATGTAATAAAAATATAATGGGTCGATTACGCCTAGTAAACTGTCCTGTATATACTTGTAATTTAAATTTTAATAATTATCATAATTTACCTAATCCTCTTGATGCTACACCTGTTGTAACAATTACATTGTATTTTCCACTCACAAAATCATTTAGAGCTAATTCTCTATACATTTGTGGTCGATCAATGTGTATGCTTGTAGCTGAAATATTTTTTTCACTGAGGAATGTGGCAAGAAAATCAGCTGTCCATGACTTATTCACAAACACCATGGTTCCTTTGTTACCTATAAAATAACATTGAATATTTATTATTTTTACTGAAATATTTTGTTTACACTTATATAAAACATATATTAACCTTTACTTAATATTTTTTTTAGTAAATACCGTTTTCTGCTATTCGTAACTTGATAAAATTGTTGAGTTATATTTTGTGAAACACCATTTAAAATACCAACAGATACAAACACATAGTTTGTATTTAAATAATCTGCTGCTAAGTTCTGTATGACATTTGGTAATGTGGCTGATAACATAATTGTTTGTCTATGTTTCTAAAGTAATAATTTTTAATCAATTGTTAATATTATCATATTAAATGTATTTAATAAATAATAATAAATACTAAAATAACAGTAGGTACAATGATAAGATTTAACTAGTAATATGGGTAACAAAAAATATATAAAACTGATGTATGTTCTAATAATGATATTATTGGTTGGTTATACATTCATCAATCAGTATTGAGCTATGTTAATGGCCTTTTGATTCGCCTGTAAGTAATTCCTTTTAAATGGGCATACACTACACTCACTATCTTGGAAATAATTGGTATTAACTTTTTTAAACAATTTAATTTTGACACTTCTATTTTCAGGTGAAACCAAAACCAATTGTTGAATTTCAAATATCAACCACATTATTTTAATAGCCCATTTTTAAAACAATGTTTTGTTTTTGTTTTAACAACTAAGTAATACTCACAGGAGAAATCATTGAAATGTGATTTATTATTCTGTCAACTTCATATTTTGAATCAAAATTTAATATTTTATCTACTTCATCTAAAACAACGAATCGTATAGATTTAAAAGCAATCACATCACCCTGAAGAAAATAATTTAATCTTCCGGGTGTACCAACAAGTATGTGACAGCCTTGCTGAAAAGAAATATGAAATGAATATTACATTAGTTTCTGTAAACAATTAATACAACATTGCATATCCACTGAAACTGAAAACTCCTTGTAATTTTTTAAGTTTCTTTAACTTAAAAATTATAGCAAAATTTGATGAAAAAATTAATAATAGTTAAAACATTAATAAATTGTGTTATAAGTACATATAAAATGCATACACTTGTTTTTTTTTCGTTTTTTAATTCACTTCAAACTAATGTAGAAGCTGATATTTAAAAACTTACTAAACATTTTTTTTTTTGATATTTTACTGAAGAACCACCATGACAAATTAATGATGAGATTCCAGTACCTCTAGCTAATAGCATAACAACTGTATGAATTTGAACAGCCAATTCTCGTGTAGGTGTTACAATTAACACCTGAGGTTCACAATGAACAGAGTCTATAAACAATTGATGAGGTTTTTCTATCAAAATATGTAAAATTGGTAAAACATAAGCCACCTAAAATAAGTATATAAAATGTAATAATATTTTTATTTATAATTTAAATATTTTTATACAATTAAATCAGTCTCTTCGAAAATGACATAAGTTACGTTTTGTCGAATTTTATCTTAAAATATGTAATATGTATTATGTATTCTATGAAAAATTTTCATTTTAAAAAATTATGTATCCATTACTCTTAGCTTTTAAAGCTAAATTTACTTGCATGGGGCAAAAATTTATCATATTATTAATATCTGTATGGTTGAGGAGTCGAGTTTCAAAGTGTACAATTTCCTCATAAACTAAATTTTCAGAAAATCGAAAAAAAAGATAATTTAATTAATAAATGGTTTTTCTCCATACTGATTTTTTAACCTTTTCATATAGTTATGTAAATATGATTTACCAGTTTTTAGCCCTAAAGGACAACATTTTGGATGGAGATTGTACAGTATGAAGCAAACAGTAGTGCAAGAGGTAATATTATATCTATTTATAGATATATTATAGAATTATATTCAATAACAGTAATAATTATTATTTACTATTATTGATGAAGTTCGAGAATAACATCACAATAATAAAACGCATAACGCAATATATTTTTCAAAGGAGACTATATGTTTTGAAATTAAATGTCATTTTCAAGATTGAAAATACACTGTGTTCTGACTATTTTCCTTGTCAATAGTAAGTTATTTAAATTCAGCACTGAGAATTGCATAAGAAATGACACCTATCTAATTTTACATTCAAATTGCAGATTGTACACCTTGAAACTAGACCCCTCAGTTATGTAATACAAATTAAAAATTATTTATTTATGCATATGACGTATTCTACAAGTTGAGATAAAAAAAATATTGATAAAATTAAACAAATTAAACATTATTTTAAATAAATATTAGAAAATTGCATTTGAATGTTCGCTGTAACAATTGAGTAATATCAGAGGCGTCTCCAGACCTTGATTATAGAGGTGGGGGACAATATCATTATATTTAATTTGAATGATTGATAAGAAATAAAGACAATACATAACAAAAACTAAAAGTTATAGATCCAATTTATTGTATTGAAATAGTTTTAATATTTGGAGTTGCTTGGCATTAAATTTTACTCCGCAAGTGGGACACTAAAAATATGGACCACAAGACTATGGAAAACAAACTTATTTTATGTAAGAGTAATTAAGTTTTAAGTGAAAAATGTTAACCCTATTTACACTATTTTTGAAATGAAATTCAAATAGGTATTCAATTGAATGCATTGCTGGAGTAAATATATCATAAATCATAATTAATTGAACACTTATACCAATATTTATTAATTTACATTATTGGTCCTTATATAAGTAATACATTTAAAAACAATACTTAAATTTATATAATATAATTAATAATTAATTACTGTTTTTCCTGAACCATTTTGTGCAGCAGCCAGCAGGTCCTTTCCGGATAAAATTGCTGGAATAGTATACTTTTGTATGGGAGTTGGTTTTTTAAATTTGCACTTTTCAATATTTATCTTTAACTTAATTGATATAAAATCAAAATTTTCGATTTTCTCTAGTACTTCAATAGATACAACATTAACTTTAGCTTCATCAAATTTATTCAAATTTATACTAGAATCTATTCTAGTTTCATAAATTGAATCATCGGCATCACTGATTTGTTTGGGGATATAAGTGGATTTCGGTGGTAATACTCCAAGTGTATTAACATTGGAGGAATAATTCAATTCATTTTCTTTTTTCATTTGTAAAATTGATTGCCTAATAAAGTCTCTCCCATGACCACCATTCATAAACTTTGAATTATTTTGAAAAGATTCTTCCATTTAATTTTTTTAACAAGACGTTATCACCATAAAAATATTGATAGTTATCTAAAAAAAAATAATCACAAATTAACATTAAAATATTAGATATAATAATATGAAAATAAAATAAATATGAATATTTATAACCAATTTTGATATTTTTCTATAAATTAGATGTCCTATAATTACATACAGAGCAGTAACATGGATATTACGAAAAAAGAAGACAAATAAACTTATTGTTCTGGAGAAAAGAAACATGACAAAGATCTTTGGTGCAGTGAAATATGAGGTAGTCACCAGATTGAGAATAAGAAAAAACAAACAATTAGAGGAACTCTTACAGTATCCATACAAATTAAATATATGTCAGAACCCACTATTTTACATGGTGTTGGCAAAGAATCCAGAAGGGAAAAGACCTTTTGGATGACCCCATTTAAGATGGGAAGTTGTGGTAAATAAAGATGTAGGGTCGTTAAAAGGACACACAGATTAGAAAACAAAAGCAGCTGACAGAGAGATTTGGTGAATTGGTTATTTGACAGAGTGTTCCTAGTGGCTGTTTATACTCAAAAAGAAGAAGAGATACTACAATAAGTACAATACAGCTCAGTTTTTATCTTCATTGGTATAAAGTATAAATATCTAACTCGATTTTAATTTTGTCAATAATAATTACTTAGTTAGAAGAATATCAATAGTGTGGGGTTAGAATTACTAAATCTTATAATAGGTATTATCTATTATCTTATCTATACTTAGTTATTAACAATAAAATAATGCATATTATTTAATACATTGGCGTACTTTCAATTTACTGCGTTATTTAAGTGTTTTCATGAAAATAACTAATAACTTTGAATTTAAAACTTTTCAGATTTACAAGAATATTAGAAAAAACAATAAATAAATTGAAATAAAAAAAAAAACAATTTAATTAATTAAGCGGTTATAAATTTACCAATGTTATTACAACAGAAAATGTTTGCACAGAATTAATTTTTAATAAAAACTTAAGTACTATTTCAACAATTTTAACGTTTAACACCGCAAGGTATCGCTGGTCGACTGTCACACACAAACGTTCTCGGGTAAAGATAAGAAAAAGTAGTAGCAGCTATAGTAGCACTGCTATTTTACTAAAGCAATAACAGACTGCTATATAGTGTTAATATTAGCAGTGAATACTAAAATTTGTAAAAATTTGTTACTACTCAGTACTTAGCGTGTTAGCCATCTGGTTCAGTTACGCTCAGCTACTAATATATTGTCAAAAGCGCAAAAAAGCGGCGTAAAAAACATTTCAATTATCTTTGAAATGGTTTTTTCAATACTATTTTCAAATACAATTTCCACTCCTTATAACTTAAACATGTGTTAACTTTGTTTTACTGATAGGAACCCTTGGTTTTGAACAGAGATTCGAATGAAAATTATTTCCCTAGATATTTTTATACACATACAACTTATATCAGATTTATGGTTTATGCTTTATTACAATTTTAATACTGGAGGACTGGGAAGGTGTTATATAAATTAATATATTAGTGACAATAAGGTATTTTAAAAATAAATAGGTAGAAAGAATTGGCGTTTTACAATTTTCAATTATAAATTATGTGTCATAAAGATACAAAATTA